TACTGATGGATTGTCCAATCACTTGGATGGTTTTGTCCTGGATAGTGTCAAGTGTCAAGTTTCAATTGTTGTTGGCTACAGGACTTTAACCATCAGCAAAGTGTCTGGAGTCAGCTGATGGTGTTGTATTTTGCCAGATTGGATTTATCCAGCTTTTTGAGATCAGAGTATATCTGAACGCATTTCTACATTGTTGGTTTGGTGCCGTTGCTGTAGCTTGACTGGAACAGCTTGGTTTGTAGTGCAGGTAGTTCTGGAGTATGGGTATTCAGTCCTATAGTCGCTATCTTTTTAGGCCCAAGCCTGTGAAAGAAACTCATCTGTTTCTTGGTATCACATGGAGTGAATCAAATTGGTGAAGGACTGACATGTGTCTGACTGTATGCACATTTCCTATATTACGTTAGTTACTAAACATTAAAAATCCTCAATTGGGGCCTTTGGGAGTAAGTTGAGATGAATCATCTGTTTGGTTCTTTCTGGCTGAAGGTGATTGTGACAGTTTCAATCTTGTCCTTTCCATTGATGTTTACTCATTCCTAAATTATTCAGGGCAGTCAAATTCAGAAAACAGATGCTAAAAATCCTTGAATTACAACCTTTGAAGGTTTTGTTTTACCGAATCCATGTTGCACTTATTGTCTTAAATTTCTTAAATTTGTCTTGGCACATATACATGGTACCGGTTTGTTTGGAAGTTGTATAGAGTCTGGGTAGTAAAGCAGTCGAAAGCCAAATTATCAGTCTGTTGAGTATTATCAAATCCCATACCACTCCTCCAATCTGATTTCTCTTGTTTGTTCAGAAGTAGGGACGTTACCACTATGTCAGAAAAGCTCTGGTTCCTCAGGATAGTGTTCTACACCAAAATATGTTCAACATCCTCATCAATGAGTTTACTTCCACTGCTGTCTCTCAGCACCACTGGCAACTGTCTGTGTGGAGTTTCCACATTCTCCCTGTGTCTGCATGGGTTTCCTCTGGGTGCTTCAGTTTCCTCCCACAGTCCAAAGATGTGCGGATTAGGTGGATTGGCCATGCTAAATTGCCCATAGTGTCCAGGGATGTGTAAGTTAGGTGGATTAGCCATGGGAAATAGAGTTGTAGGGATAGGGTGTGTGTGTGCGCGCGTGCGGGGTGGGAGGTGAGTCTGGGTGGGATGCTTTTCAGAGAGGTGGTGTGGACTTGTTGGGCTAAATGGCCTGTTTCCACACTGTAGGGATTCTATGAGGTCAGAAATGAAGATGTTTGCTGATGATTGCACATTGCTTGGTAATTTGTCACTCTCCAGATACAGAAACTATTAGAAACAGCCAGACCTGGACAGTATTTGGGCTTGGGCTCAAAAGTGGCAAGTAACACTCATGCCACATAAATTCCAGGCAATGATCATCATTTTCAATAAGAGAAAATCAAACCACCTACCTTTTTAACATTTAGTAGCGTTTGCTATTGTTGAATTACCCACTGCAAACAATCTGGGGCTTACCATCAACCAGAAACTGAATTGGACCAACCATAACAATATTGACTACAAGGGTAGGTTGTTTTCTTAAAATTCAAAAGTTGCCTGTGATTCCACAGAGCCTTTCTACCATCTACAAAGCACAAGTCAGAAGTGTGATGGAATACACCTCCAACAACACTTGAAACTTGACACTATCCAGGACAAAACCACCCAACTGACTTGACAATCCATCTACCACCTTCAATATTCTCCTCTTCCATCAGCAATGCACAAAATTCAGTGCCCAAGTCACCAAAGATCCTTTGACAGGTCCTTCTAAACTTGCCAATTTTATCACCAAGAAGGACCAAGGGAACAAATGCATGGGAACACCACCAAAAGCAAGTTACCCTCCAAGCCACCCACCATCCTCCCAATTATATTTGCCATTCCTTTGTTGTTGCTGGGTCAAAGTTCTTGAACACCCTTCTTAACAACAGCGTGTACGTACACCTGATGGACTACAGCAGTTCACACAAACTTATTACAGATCACTGCAACCAACTCTGGCCATTTTGGAGAGGCAATGTCTATCCATTAGTGCACTCTGCTCACATAGTAAGTGAGGCACAAGCTGCACTTGCATAGTAAAGATTAATAGTCAACAAAGAGCGAGTGGAAATCTAAGCAATCTGTACTGATGAGCACTGCATTTTCAAAGGAGTTTCTGTTGAAAGATGCAGCAATAGGAAAATTGATCTGAAAACATTTGCACATTAATATTTCTCAGTAACAAGCTTACATTTCTAGTTATCCTATCATTACTGCAACATAGTTGAACAATACAATAGCTTGTTCCTGTCTCCACCCACATTATACTCTAATAGGCGCGTTGTAGGGTGTATCCTCAGTTGTATGCTGGTAAACACAGCACTATGTTGCTGAACCGGTCATATGTTATCATATTACAATTCTTACTCCTACATCATATGCTCTGTAGTGTTGATCCACCAACGTCAGAAAACTTAATATATTTTCTGCATCAAGTTTTGAATTTTCTGGATTCCACGTTGTCCCTTTTCTTGTTTTGAAAATCAAAAATGCTCCTGACTCATTTCTTTAAAACACCTGAATCACAAGTATGTTTTAAAAAAACCTCTGAAACCACATCATTTTAATGTTGAGCATCTTTTGGAGCAATGCTGTCTTTGGGGTGGCACGGTGTCAAGATGGCTCAGTGGTTAGCACTGCTGCCTCACAGCACTAGGGACATGGGTTCAATTCCATCCTCTGTGTACAGTTTGCACGTTCTCCCTGTGTCTGCATGGGTTTCCTCCCATAGACCAAAGATGTGCAGGTTCGGTGTCTTGGCCATGCTGAGTTGCCCATAGTCTCCGGGGATGTGCAGGCTAGGTGGATTAGCCATGGGAAATGCAGGGTTACAGGGATTGGGTAGGGGGGTGACTCTGGGTGGGATGGTCTTTAGAGAGTTGGTGTGGACTTGTTGGTCTGAATGGCCTGTTTCCACACTGTAGGGATTCTATGGAAGTTTTCCCCCCTTAGAGCCATTTAGAAGTACTGAGTGTCCCTATGTTTCTCCACCCGAGTGCACACATTGGTATTTTTAGCAACAAAGTTATCCTGTACTACATAATATTGAAATGTGCAGGAAACCCATCAGTGAGACGTAATACGACACCTCGACAAATAAATGGAAACCGAAATCTTCACAGGGAGACCAAGAGCCCTAAATGCATTTGTGCTTTAGTTGGTGATCGTAACTTGCTTGATATTAAAAGGATTTTGGAAAGTCTGTTTTTGTTATCACGTTATTGTCCCTTGCAGGGAATCTTATGGTGACATTCCCAAAAACAGCTGGTGTTCACCACAAAATGTGAATAGTAAGTTATTTTGAAATCTGTTAAAAGCCTGCTGAAACTTTGCAGCATAACTCCAAGGATTAGGGTTTGTAGAGCCTAGTTGAGAGGGGGCCAACATGCAAGTTATCACACTTACAATGCCATTGCAAATGGAGGTCTTCACTCCCTACACTCCCTATATAAATAGCCTGGGGTTCCAGGTGTCTGTTCTGTGTGGACCTACCCTCCAATCCCATCCTACAGCCAAAGTTCTTACTGCATAACTGCCAATATGCTCACACATATACTTTTCCCATCTCGGAATACACCCATACTGCTTTGAATGTAAAATTGTTATCCGTTTAAAGTATTTGTGAAGTCTCGAATTCCATTTTTGACAGGCCCATTACTTCCTAGAATTTCCAGTGTATAATCTTGATTACAGATTTCAAGGAGGCCATTTGGCCTACCTGGACTGTGCCATCTCTCCACAAGATCTATGCAGCGAGTTCAACTCCCTGGCCTTCAACTTACAGCCTTGGAAAATGTTTGTCTTCAGTTGCTTTTTGAAAGTTCCCTTGTGAAAGCCACAGTTTTTAAAAAATTCATTCACGGGATGAGGGTGTTGCTGGCTAGGCCAGCATTTATTGCCCATCCCTAACTGCCCAGAGGGTAGTTGTGAGTCAACCACATTGCTGTGGGTTTGGAGTCACATGTAGGCCAGACCAGGTAATGATGGCAATTTCCTTCCCTAAAGGACATTAGTGAACCTGATGGTGTTTTTTTTTCCAACAATCAGCAACAGATTCATGGTCATCATTAGACACTTAATTCCAGATATTTATTGATTTCAAATTCCACCATCTGCCACTGTGCGATTTGAACCCAGGTCCCCAGGACATTACCTGGGTCTCTGGATTAACAGTCTAGCAACAATACCACTAGACTATTGCCTCCCCAGTGCACCCTGATCACTCATTGTATTAAACAAAATGGGATTTTGCTTGTGTTGTCTTTGACTCTTTGCCAATCAGTATAAGTGTCTTCTGCTTAGAGGTTTTTTTCTGTCTTCCCTGTCAGTTCAATAATGATGTTGAACACCTCTCTCCATTCTCTCAACCTTCCCTTCTCTGAGGAGAATAACCTCAGCTTCTGCAATCTATCCTCTTACCTTTCATTCCTGATTCCTGGAGCCATTCCCGTACATCTTTTCCATGCTCTGAACCTTTTAATACAGTGACATTTTTAATGTAATACATCCTTCATTGGCCTGATTTATCCCATTTTCAAAACAAAATCAGGAAAGTCTGCAGTTATCTGGTTAGGCTCACAATTAAGTATTATAATCAGAAATGTAGACTTTTGCGATGAAGGTCTCATTTGAATACACAGGTTTTTGGTTCAGGAACTAGACAAATGAATTGAACATTGCTTCTTTTTTGCTGTAGAAACACAAAGGAGAGACTGCTCCCCAGAGTCCAAACACCACATTGGTTTAATAGAGTAAAAGTGAAGAGCAATAAAAAGGATAGTAACTCGGCTAAGCAATACTTTGGTTTAGAACATTTCGAGATTCTGTAATGAAGAGAAGGTTGGGATGGTTAAATGAATGATCTAGAATTTTGCTAAATTGAGGATTTGTTCTGGAGAAATGTTCCTTTTTCTAACCTGTGTCTTTTTCTTCTGCCATTTAGACAGGACAAGTTAAAAGTTCATATGAGGAAGCATACAGGAGAGAAGCCCTATTTGTGTATTGAGTGTGGAGCTGCATTTGCGCACAACTATGACCTGAAGAATCACATGCGTGCCCATACAGGCCTTCGCCCCTACCAGTGCGATTCCTGCTTCAAGACCTTCGTCCGCTCGGACCATCTGCACAGGCACCTTAAAAAGGAGGGCTGCAATGGCACCCCCTCCACAAGAGGACGCAAGCCTCGGGTAAGGGACACCAGCAACCTCGTGTCCGAGGGGTTGAATGATCCTGGCTGTGGAGAGGGCATCGGGGAGGAGTCTGCCAACCTGAACATGGAGTTGGAAGAAAACAGCAACCAACAGCACTTTGAAGATCGACCAGAAGAAGATTGCTCCAAGATTTTGGAAAATGAAAAGCCTCCTGAGAGGCTGAATGTAGATGAGGATTTGCTTGAGGATAACAAAAGCCAATTGTGTGAAAGCTAAACCAAATCATGGTAACAGGGAGGTGGGTGGGATAGGCAGGGAATAGGGGCACAAACCTTCTATTAGTAGTTCCTCATCCTTTTTAAACAAAAATGGGCAAGAAGGTTTTTTTTTTACTTTAATTCAGAAATAGCTTGGTAGTAGAATGCTAGACCTCTTGTTTTACAGTTTAGGCAAAGGATATCACTGCTAGAATCTTAAGTTGAAGTTGACCCGTGCTACACTTTTCAGGCCCTGGTAACTGATCGGTATTGATCCTTGGTACATGTTCAGATGTTTGCTGAGCCTCCGTGCAAATGATGCTAATGGATAAATGTGAGGGGCCAAGGTTCATGTAGGTACTTACCCTAATATCACCACAGGTATCCAGTATTGGCATTGGTCAATTTCTAATTTTAATCAACATAAAGTAACGTTAAATTATGATTTTTTTTGAATTCATAGTTTGGTGTAACTAGCCTTTATTTTTAACATTCGAACTTATGACTATACAGTACAAACACAGGACATGAACAGCTGTAATGAGATTGACTCTAGTAAAACAAATTTCTAGGTGTTTTTAAAAGAATATTTAGTTTATTTTGTTTCCAAAGTCAGGTTCCAATTAATTTTTATTTTGAAAACGAAACGTTTTGCTGTTTTGCAAACAGGTTTAAAATCTAAGAATTTAGTTGTTTTTAAAAGAACGTTTACTGAATGTAAAGCGTGTGTGACAATAGTGAATTTGAAAGGATTCGGGAGTGAGATGGTATGGAAAAGGCTTGTACCTTTTCGAGTTAGCAATAAAGTTGGAAGGCCTAGCACTTTTATACAGGGGGTTTCAGCTGTTTGCAGATCAGGACCCTATGTAAAAATGTTTACAAGTGAATCCCTAATCAGTCAAATATGGAGAAAGGGAAAGGGTGAGAAAAACTACTAATTCTATTTTGTAACATAATAATTATATAGACCCTCTAAGCTCATTGCACTTATAGCCAAGAGCTCAACTTGGGCTAGGTCATACAAGGCCCTCACCCAGTGTTCATCAGTTTAGTCCATAGAAGGCGGGGGGGAGAGTGGGGAAGAAAGTGAGATTGTAAAATGATTTCAAAAGATAAGATTTTATTGAAATCCATGGCATGAATTGTAAATTAATTTTGCTAGTAATCCACTCCAGAAAACATTGAGATGTTGAAAAATCCAAGAATCTTAATGCATTGGTAAAAGAGAAACCTTCATTCTAATTATGTGTTTAGCAGGCCACTGTGCCTTCTCTGTTGAGGTAAATTATTATTTGGTGGCACAGTACTCTGACTGGTATTCAATCCAAGTTACAATCTTGGCTTTGCCAGGGTGCATCCAGGCAAAAAGATGAAAGCTGGTGTCTATTATAGCCAGTGTTGGAGGTAACTTGGCCATGCACTGTGTGGGCTTTCTTGAAAGTTGCCATAGTGTGAATCATTGACCTACTTTTTGTTGCTGCTCCACAGAGCTTCCGTAAAAAGTAGATCTTCAGCCTTTAAGATGTCGGTAATAATTCCTTCAGTTCGTGGCAAACATTTAACTACCATAGAGAATGCCAAAAACAGACAAAACATTTATTTACTGTAGAGTTTTATTAGAGAGTGGTGAATTTTTAGGAGGGAAGAGTTCTAATGGCATTTTTAGAATCTATGCTGTACTTAAACTTTGTCATGCAACAACAGGTTTAGAGCTTATATTAGTGAGGAAAACTCCTAATCTCTCTCAACCATTGAACTGAATAGCCACCTACTCTATAAATAATCAAAGTTGTTTTTTTTTAAATTGGTTGACCATGGTAGGCTGGCTGTAACATCCTCACCAGTTGGTCTTGTTCCCTCCAAACTATTTCCAGTCTCATATGGGGAACTGAAGCAACATTGGGTGTATTCTTTGGCTAACAAGTCCTAGTGTGGGTGTGTAAATAATATATATTTCACTTAATAAGATTTTATTTAATGGATTGACCTTACTTTTTGATAGTGAACTTGTAGGGCAAGATGTGTATTTCAGCACTGTGTGAAGAGGAGAGGGTGTGGGAGCTTAGAGGGGAAAGGATGTTAGACACCACTACAGGCAACATTTTACCACATTCCTTATTTTTGCACTAAAAAAATCTTCAACATGCAGGAACAAGCACTGTTAGATGTGGAATACACCTTCAGCATATGTTTTTGGTTGGTGAATAGTCAACAAGTTCAGGATACCAACAGTCAAAACTCATTGATGTACATTTGTGTTTGGAGTATTTTGTCATTCTTATACACACCCTCTTTAAAATGCTATCTTTGAGAGTTGTATGAAAGTGTGTTTGAACAAGGCGTGTGTTATGCAGGGGGTGGGGAGTGTGATCACTCTTTATTTAAATTTTCTTTTTTAAATATGATTTCTCTACAATAGAGGGAGCTGTTAAAAATGCATGCTATATGCGGGATTGTGATTTTTCTAGAATGTTCGAATGAAGAGGCTCGTCATATATTTGTGTAGATTTGTTAACTTGTTTCCCAATGACGAATGTGATAAAGTGTTGTATGAATTCTGAACTAACATTGTACTTGGAATTCTCATGAAACACAGCATTGGTTAGACAGACTTAAGCTGTGGGAGGATATGAAAAAACAAGTGGGCTATTTACTTGGACTTGCTGAGCAGTTAACCATTTTAGATCAAGTTCAGAGCCTTTTCCTTGGCTAAGTTCTGTGACTCATTGAAGTACTGGCAGTTCAATTTAGATGAGCAAAGTAGTCAAGATGCCATATCTTTGTCTGTGGCCAAACTGTTATGTATGTGTATAATAATATATTTTCTAAGATCTTCTCTTCCTGCACGCCCTGCCTCCTAATCTCCAATTCCTGCAATGTTATGTCTAGTCACTGGATTAATGTAAACTGCTCTATTCACCCCCTTTCCTGCTGTGGCATCATGTGCTGATTGATCTTGTTTTCACCAAGCTCTCCTACCATGATTGTCCCCTTGACACACTTGACCTACTGAAACAATGTAGTAAAACTTTAAATTGTGAGGATCGTTGGGCTTGGAGGGGTGGTTTTGTAGGTGAAGAAAGTTAATGTTGGGTTTCAGATGTTGTTAGACTTAAATTAGTGAATAACTGATGACGACTGTTGCTCCATAATCACAAATTACTCACCATAATTTAGGCCAGTTTTCCCGTCTTAATTCATCTATTCAGTTATGTACATTGCTATTTTGCCCAATTGCTGGATCTAGATTTGTTTTCTTAAATGAATCCAAATATTTGCTTAAGAGTTCATTCCAGAGGATTATGGATTCCAAGTGTTTGAAGAGTATATTGGTCTTAAAGTTACTTTTCATCAGTTTAAAACTCTTTCTCTTGTCCTACTCACATAGTTTAAAATCCAAACTTAGTTGAGGAGTGGGGAAAATACAACAAATACATCTTGCATTTAACAATTTTGTGAATGTAAAATTTTGCATGGTGATTTCCAGGAATAAAGCAAATTTTCATAAGCAAAATATTTATTTTCAGAGTATATATCTCTTCCTACTCTCTTCCTCTCCTCAAATATACATTCTAAATCATTTCACCAGTGGTCACTCAGTATAGTGCAAAGGGGTGCAATCACCATCTACTTAATTTCTTGTATCTTGCATCTATCACTTTGATTATTCCTGCCCACCACCATTCCATTCACTTGCAGGAAGAACAGCTTTCTTTGTGGCCAACCAGCTTGAAGCATTCTCATAGCAGGATGAACGGAGAACAGATCAATTTCCTGTTCTAAACAACTCTGCGATATGAACACCAGCTGAGAATTGATGGGAATCAATCCAGTAGTGACTGGAAGCCTCAGATGGCTCCATTCAGCATAGGATTGCCAACTTTGGTCAGATGTATTTCTTAAAGGGTTTCATCTCATGACCTTCAATCACCACACTTAGTCAAACAGCTCTTTATTGTATCGTCAGAGACGACTTTCATTTATTTCCCACCTTTACCATAGTAAAAGTTCAGCACCCCTTCAAACTTTGGCACAATTTAATGGTGAGACACCTTGCAATATGACCAAAAGCATTGTCAAAGCACTAGTTTAAGAAGTGACTTCAAGGAAGAGAGGAGGTACAGATATTTACCGTTTTTAAAAATAATTTCTAAACATGTTTAAAGAAAATTAAATTCTTTATTAATGCCCCTTTTCACCAGGTTTACTCACAGTAGTGCCCAGTACATAAATCTAAGTGAATTCTGAACAACTCAGCGAGTTTGTAACCCTAATTCTTGGTCAATATTTGTGAACAGAGCACACTGATCACAACTGGGATTGTGAGTCTTTAATCCACTGGGGTTAATGAACAGTCATTTGAAATGTCCTCACATGTTTTAACATCCAAGTTTGTCTTATTCAGCCAAGTGTAATCTGTATTAAATCCATCTCAATTTGATAGTAGTTCTAATCATGTAAATAAATCCCAACTGTAAAGAGAATTTTATAAAATCACATTACAAAATGATTGTTATGTTTTAGTTCTGCTAATAAACATCATGCCTTACAACTTGCATTAATTCTAAAATTGTGAAGTGGCGAAATGCTTTCTGTAAATCAGGACTTTTTAACTCCTTTTTAGTCTCCCTGCTGCCCTCCTCCAAGATGTGTCCTGGCCTCAGCCTTTTAACTGAAGAGCACGTGCTGGGATGTTTACTCCTCTAGCAGCAGTTCTGGACTTGGCTCCTCTCTCGCCCAGAATGAACTGGACCAGCATAACTTAGTTCCTTATGAGCAGGAATACAGCACAAAACTAGCTTGAATCTAATCCAGTAGCTATTAGAAAGGTGAATCATTCATTGGCAGTCTTGCACCAGGGTAATGAGCACAGTAGGAAGTGACACTGCTGTACTGATATTGCAGGGACTGGGTGGAGGTTTAGGTTTCCATTTCCATTAGGATATTAAATGTTCAAAACCACAAAAATCCCAACAAATTGTAGGAATGTTATGATGAGAGCCCAAATAAAGAACCCATTTTTCTGTAGGTGTACGATTGAAGTTTTGAGTTCAATCTTACTTAGCAACCCTGAATAGAGCAAGACATTTTTTATTCCTTTGATAATTTGCACGCAGGGGATTATTCAGTAACAGTGAGTAAGGTGTGTAAGGGTTTCTGATAGACACTAGCTGGATCTTTTGCTGCGGTTGCATTGCAACTGACACAATTATATGAATGTGCTGAGCTTCTCATTTTGGCAGCTAACATTTCAATGTTTAGACTGTGCAGGAAGCTATGCCCATAAACATTTCAAAACAATGTGGAATTTATCCAGTAATATTCGGGAGTGGAAGGGGTCTACGCCTCCAGCACTTTCAAAAATGCAGTGCAGCATCAAAAAAAGTTGAGTACCATCTAATCTCAAATAGGATGTAGAAAGACACTGCCCTCCAGGCATTCTCTCTGTTACTCTCCAAAATTGGGTTGGGCTCTGACTTCACAGCTACTTTGCAACTTAAAAAACAAGTTGTTGTGTAAATACACCCTTGTAACATGCCCAATAACTACTACAGGCTCTATTTAGTATAATTTCTGGGAAGATGATTTATGACCTCCATTAGCACTCCATTAGCTGGAGATTGTACTTGCTGTGAACAGCAATTCGGAAAACTATTTCAATTGAGCAATTTTAATTATTTTAATGAGTTCATGGCCACGACTTAACCACTGGGTAGATTAATGAATGTTTTCTTGTACTTAGGCCTGCCTTTGCCCATTCTTGATGCTAGCTTATAGTAATGGCGATAGTTAAATAAGGCCTAAAAGGATTAAAATTAAACAATTTAGTATTTCTGTAAGATTTAGGATGAATAGTAGAAACTAAGACTCTGTGCAAACTGTTTCCAAATGTGTTAAATTAGTGTCTCCAAAATAGTTGGTAGAAAAATTACAGGGTGAAATTCCTCCTGCATGTGGTTTGATTGTTAGTTTGTAAAGTCATCAACCAGAGAAATTTCATCTTTTTAAAATAAGAATATTTTAATCTTAGAACAGCATTTTGTCAAATTTTTCCTTAATTCTGAGTACCTACTTTAATTTTTACCCAATTAACCAATTTAACTTTTTTTATATAATATGTCTAATAGCAATCTATAAGCACATAAGAAATCCAATCATAGCTGAAAGTAATTTCCTCCTGTTGTATCTGCACTACATATTGGTTCATTCAATTTTTTTTCCTCTCCATCCAGGAATGATTACTCAGATATCCTGTGACATTAGAAGTTTTGAGATCACAAGGGTTACTGTCACTTTATATAGTTTTTATGCCAAGCATTGGGATAATTTTTTCTAAACTACCCTTAATTCTTCATGTAGTAGTTAAATGAAAAGTCAGTTTCAACATTTTATGAAAATGAAATTGCAGTGGAGCATTGTACATGTGGAGAAGAGTCACAAGGCTGATCCCATGTGTAAAACTGTGTGGAATGATAAGAAAAACCTGGCCCTAAAGTCCAAAAACTGCTTTGTGAGTATCTCCCTGACATGTATAAAATGTTAAATAGTACATTTAAAAAAAAAAGATAATTGTTCCAGGAAAATAATGTCAGCATTTAGAATTGGTGAAAAGTAAGTTTAAGATGTATTTGAAAGAAGCTCTCAACTCTCAAGTGACAAATGTTTTGGAATGGCAGATAACATTGTCATGACAAAAACGTTCAGGATCTTTTGAAGTGCAGTTGAGTTGCTGAGAAGAGATGGGCTGAATGATCTTTATAAATCTCCCAGTTCTCTCTTGTTTTAAAGTTGTTGGTTTATCCTATGGGAAAATTAAAATTGTTACTGTTATGATACAGTCCTGCAAACAAAAATTGGATTCAGAAACCTTCCTGTTGTGTTTCATGAGTTTCCGTTCTTTATTCCAAATGAAATGGCACATTGGCAGAAGAGCCTAGAAGTGGAGAGGCATCTTATGCTTAATTCATTGTTAAAGCACAGAGGGAACATTCCATACATTATTTGTGCATAGATTCTTGAGCCGGGGAGGGAAAGAAACAGAGAATATAAAAATTGCACTTTGGGCTATTGGTAAATTTTATCATTGTAAATAAAACCACTAAATCAATCAGCATAGTCCAAAATACTTAGTTTTTATACTGAAAAAAATCCAAAGAAATTGAGTACTATTATGCATATATTGTACACTTTGAATTTTTCTGCCCATTTTTAATTATTTTCCAGTTTGTTTATTTTCATATCTTTCATTTGAGTGCACTTGCAGACTTCTGAATCTTACAACAACAATAAAATTCCAACAGACATGATTTAAAAAATATGATAAACATACACACACAGAAACAAACAAAATAGGGGGCATGTGAAGATTAAAGGATTTTAAACTACACAACTGGCAGCTTGGGAATGTTTTGGGAATTATATTTATAATAATGCGCTTTGAAATACAGGCAGGGCTTTGGGAATCTGTGGGAACATTTTCTGCCAGTTCTTGAAGTTCATAACATCCTTGAATCATTCTGAGACATGCAATTCTTAATTAAATGTAATATATTTTTGATTTGTAGTATTTTAAAATAGAAATAGTTCAATGATATTGGTAATGTTATTTATATTTTTTCATTAATGTGGTGCTTGATCCTTTTACAGGCCTGATTGCATTATTTTTGTCTTGTATTTTCTGTCCTCAGTCCTTCTGTGCAATTTGTCACTTTCTAAACTCTGATGATTATACAAGTTCTTATTGTTCAAAAATATTCATGTAACATCACCCATTCCTGCCCAATAATTTAATGAATACCCTAAGCTTTTGGAAAGCACCTTTATTTTTTATTTTACAAGCTCTGTGTTGGTATTAGTGGACAAATATTGAACATATTTGATGTTCCTTTCCATTCTCATTTACGTTGAGTTGATATTTTTGCTAAGATACAGTAAGAAGTGTCAAAAGCATTTTGTATCTATCACCAACAGTCTCATTTCTTGGCTATATCACTAATTTTTTTTTTCACTGACCTTGCTACTTGCTCCCCTGGTTGACTATATTTGATTTTAAATATCCCTCTTATTCAATCATTATGCTGGTAAAATATATTAAAATGAACTTTTAAAATTTGGGATTAAATACCCAAATAGCTCTTCAAAATGCTAGTGGATTTCTAAAGACAGTACCTGACCTTTCTGTTGGGTTTCTCCAATGTCCATTGGACCTCAAGAACTGGAAAAGAAGCCAAGTTTGGTAGATACCAAAGCCTTGTACAGTATTTGCTTGCTGTGGCTGAATGATGTAATGCCTTACTGTTATCATTGTGTAATAACATGCTGTACTGTAATGGATGATGGGTATTTTCTCAGGTTCTAGCATAGGGTGGGATCCATGGTTTGAAATTTGCTCGAAAATTACCACCCTCTCCTCCTGTTCACTCCGACATCACACCACCCGCCTCCCCCCCCCACCCCCCAAAAAAAAATTCCTGTTTTAGAGGAACTGTCTGCAACTATATTTATTTTATTAATTTGGTTACTCCAATTACCAAACTTGCATCTCATTGTTTTTCAAAAGTGATTTTATAAAAGTATAATTTTACCATAGACCCTCAAGAAATAGTCATTGGGTAAAATGTAAAGTTTTTTTTTTATTTAAATACTTTGTTTTTTTTTAATTTTCTCAAAAATTAGTGTGGAAAATAAAAACTGTATTCTGTATATTGTGGTAATATGAGTATGAACTTTATCCATGAATGATTGAGTTTAGTATGTTACTACAGGCCATTCTCATTGCCTCAGTAGCAATTCATTTGATACTTTCTAATCCCAGTCACAAGAATCACTCACCTATGGTTGATGGGCTGGATTAAGTTCAAGAAAGCAGGACATCATGTAACTTTTCTTCTGTGTGATGGCCTTTAAAAGAGCTTGCCACAAAATGGCAGATGCTTCCCACCTTCCCCAGGATAATTAGAACATTAACATTTAACTGGAAACCTGCTGAACCATCTTAGTTTGTTTGCCCACAGTGCCAGTCTATATAGACTGGGATAATGCAAACCACTTGACACACAAATATTTATGTACACTGCAGGGAGCTGTGAATTCTCAGTTTACTTCGATCCATTATATAGGAATTCCTAATTCTAAACCGGGTTCAGCATAGTTCGGTCCAGAGAAGCAATTCTAAGTATGTTTGAATCCTCCTCCTGGCCTCAGTGGGAATTATCGGATAATTGCTGTGTCCCTTGACACATTGTGGTCGATACAGTGTCATATGGGAATCGTTGATACAAGTTTGCAACCTACCACTGCATACCAATGCTATGTTAGCTTATTATCAGGTGTTTCTATGCTGAATATGAAAGTCAAATTAGCAGTGAAATATGTGGGACTTCCGTTTGTCTGGTTCATGAAACCTAATGCAAATCTCTAGTTTCTTCCCAACATTAAAATGAGAAATGAAATATTGGTTGACAGGCTGGTAATACCAACTGAAACAGACAAACAATGCAGGATTGTGTCTAACTGGATTTTTAAATGGAATTTTGGGTCTATAGTTAGAATAGTTAAATTAGGCATGAGGGCAGTTAGCAGATGTCAGTTAATATTTTCAGACACCCTGGAGAACACTGAGGGAAAGATCAAGCCAAGGACTAACTACAATCTATTTATGTAGAAATGTAAACCTACAGCTTTTGACTGTTTTTTGGGTTGTTCCTTTATTCTTCTGTTCTTTCTCTGTTCTCTAATTTTTCAGTTTTCCTTTCACTTGTCTTCTGAAGGCTGAATTACACAAACACTGGGTACTCTTTACTACCCACTTGTGACTATTTTTAACACAAGCCTAGAGAGATAATGTCGACAGACTATAAACTATAATCAAGGATGTTTCTGATCTTGCCTGATATTCCTGTAACATATTTACAATATATGCATACACTCGGCTTGGTTTCCTGATTTGCGCCTTTCTTTACACAGCCCTTAAGTGCAAAGACCAAACCTAATCACTCTATCGATTGAGGTAAGTGAACAACAAGATTTAGAATTGCACTGGGATATTCAGGGTCTTTTATGGTTTGAATTCCAGCATAGTTTGAGGTTCTGAATCTACTGAATTTGATAGTCTGCCAAAGCATTTTTAACTCTCGGCCATTTAAAAGTTTTCCTCTGTTATTACTGCTGCCTACCCCTTCCCTCCTACGATGTAAACTTTGACCTTTACTTGTGAAAATTGTCTTGTTGAATTACCCAAGTGTGGATTAATAGCGAGCATGGGTGGGATTTTTTTTACACCATGAATCACCTTCTGCACATGCACATTTTCTAGCAGTGGGTATTGAGTGTTAGGGCCTGACCAGTTTACTCGTCCAATCCCAAGGGTACTGATAGCAATTGCATCTTTTCCCTATTCAGCCATCACCAACCCCACCAAACCTTATACCCTCTCCCTGCCAAGCCAACATCAGCTAATCAAATAAAGATTGGGCAGTTTAGTGTCAAGGGAGAGAGAAATCTTGGGACGTTTCATTTCTGGTTCGTCATAAGCAATATTTTTGTAATTGGTAGGAGTAAAGTAATTGAGGCTTTGGTGAAGGCAGTAAGAGTATAATTTGGCATTTTTATACTTTTTCCTTGTTAATGGATAACAAAAGTATATATTTTTTACTTCTTAAAGCTTTTAATTCCTACTAAATAAAGTCACTTTTACTGAGATTGAGAGCATTCAGCACTTCCCATAGTTCTAATGGTTTCTTACCATTTTAGGCTGAGCCAGCTGTATGCTGGTTTAGTGTAATGATAGGCAATTGAATTTCTGCAGACGAAATCGAAGACTCGTCGTGATCACCGAGCAGATTTCAAACCCATTTTTAAATGTAAAAATTTGTTTTCACTCCTCTTCAGGGTTAGTTTTGCAAAGCAATCAAAGCTGTATGTTACTTTTTGAAGACTGTACTGTAACTTGTTAAATGAATTTTTTTTGCACTAATAGATGACTTTTGAGTTTCCCCAAGATGTGTTTGTGTGACTTATTTTTTTTAAAAAATGTTCTTTGCCCTGGTTCAGGAATGTTTTCCAGATTTTGCTGATCTAATGCCTAAATAGTCGGGTGAGGCAGTGGTGTTAGTGGAAATGTCACTGGGTTAGTATCCAGAACCCCAGGCTAACATACTATAGGACATAGCTTCAAATCCCACCATGGAAGATGGTGAAATCTGAGTTAAATAAAAATCTGGAATTAAAATCTAGTAACCAGATAACCACTGTCAGTTGTTGTGAAAACCCATCTGGTTCATGAATGACCTTTTTAGGGAAGAAATTCTGCTATCCCTACCTGGTCTGGCCTGTATGTGATACCAGACCCACAGCAATGTGGTTGATTCTTAACTACCCTTCAGCCAAACAGGATGGATAATAAATGTTGGCCCAGATGGTGTGACCCACTTTCCAAGAACACAAGGAAAATAATATTCCTGTGGTAGGTTAATCTTAAATGTTCCTGATATTATCTATTTGGTTAGATTTATAATCCAACCATAATAAATGTTCATTCACCCAGAATTTACCATGAAATCAAAGGGATCGGCAAATGCCCATTTGGTGTAGTATTGCGCTAGATTACAGTTAACTACAGACTGACCCCAATTATGCAAGTTAGGATAAGGATTCCTAATTTTACTTATTCTGCCTGCAGGGTCAAAGTATTACCTCTTACCGTTGATATGAAGGAATAATACACCTTAATTGGATTATGGACATTGAGAGCATTCTGTCCAGCCAGGACTTTGGTTTGGATGCCTATCTTTTCAATGGGATGTGTGTATCCCTAAAATCCACTAGCAACAAAGTTTGCAAGCAAATCCAGTAACTTTTTCCACACTGTCTTTAAAATCTACTTCCCTCTCTTTCTTTGCAGATTGACATGCTTTTGCCCCATTGAAAATTGGACTAGTTTCTCCAAGACTCCGCACTTCTTCATTTTGTGGAGATGGAGGGAGTGGGGACAGAAACCTTCTGTGGCTATAAGGTGGGACCACTGCCATAATAAACTGTCAAAAAGAAAACAACCTCTGAATCACATCAGTCACTAAACTGCTGCTTTGCTGCAGCAAGCCGATAATCCTCCAGTTGCACAGTTGGCAACCTGTTTGCTTTGACAATAAAGAAACCTGCATTGCCTATTTAACTGAATGAGGTGCATCCTTGTTGTTTGACTCCACTGTAGGACTAAATATCACAGGGACGAGGGCTTCTGAAAGCTGATCTACTTTCCCCTCTTCCCCTGCTGAAGGAAAGTCAGTGGCAAGCTGACCATCTGGAAAGAAATTATCTAGCAGCCAATAGGTGATTGGCCAGCAGCTCAAGAAGTGCTGGCAGTGCCACAGGCCCAGTAGGGGGTACTGCTGACATAACAGGAGATACAAAGACCACAATGAAAACTGCATTGGATCCTGTAATGAGGCAAGTACAGGGCACTGGGCAGGGAGGGTTTGGAAAGTTTTTAGGGAGGACAGTTTGAGGGGAGGTGTGCGTGGGACACAGCACAGGCAGATGGAATGAAAGGGGTGAGTACTACCTTCGGGCAGGGACTGGATGTGCAAAGGGCATCCCGTAAAGATAGTAGCTGTCCTCCTTTTCTGCTGTTTTATTAGTTTCAGCTGTTCTTTTTTTTTTTAAAAAAAAAAAGGCCTGTCCACTTCAGCCCAGTAGTTGATGCTGACTATATCAAGGTGTGGGCAGCAAGTTCATAAGAAATCATACAATCCCTACAGTGTGGAAGCAGGCCATTTGGCCCATTGAGCCCATACCAACCCTCTGAAGAACATCCCACCCAGACCCACCCCTTACCCTATTCCTGCATTTCCCACCACAATGGGCAATTTAGCATGGCCAATCCACCTAATCTGCACATCTTTGGACTGTGGGAGGAAACCGGAACACCCAGAGGAAACTTACACAGACGTGGAGAATGCGCAAATTCCACACAGAATCACCCAAGGGTGGAATCAAACCCGGGTCCCTGGAGCTGTGAGGCAGCAATGCTAACCACTGTGCCACCATGTGTTAACATACTGATAAAATGTCCACTGACATTTACATATGGTTAGATGGCTAATGATGCTGAGGCCATTTACTCCATATATGGATGTCAGTTCAGAGTGTATTTGCCTTATTATGTGCCTGCTTGCCAAAAACATACCTGACAGGGGCACGTAATATTGAGCCCCTGGAGTTTGAAATATTCAGACCAATTTTATGGCAGGTTTCCCTTGTGTTGATTGGGAAGATTAAAATTAGCTTAGCAGAGGGATGGAAATCTGAACCACTGAACAGAAAATTAAAGCCCTAATTGGAAGGCAGGAAATTAGTAAACAAATTATGAAGGCAAAATAAAAGCTAGAAACCAAAACCAAAGAAGTTGCTCCATTATTGACATATTAATGTACGATGCAGAGGAGTTAAATGTAAAAATTTACTCTTGGAAGTATGATATATTTATTACTGAAATATGGCTTAAAGGGCAGCTCTATATTCCTGGTCTCAAAGTCTTCTAATGGGATACAAGAAATACAAAAGCCACAAGAATGGTTAAAGATGCAACGGTGAGGAGAGATGATATGTGAGAAAGATCATCGAATAAAGCCAGGTAGGTTGAACTGGGTAACAAAATAGGGGAAATCACAGTATTTGAATAATAGTGTGGTACTTTAAACAGCCAGAAGCATATAAACAGCAAATTTTTAGGCAGATATTGAGAAGTGCAAAAATAATAGGAACTTAATAATGGATAAATTTCAACCAGCCTGATATTTATTGGGATAAAATTAGTGTCAAAGGCACAGAGCAGAAAGTTCTTCCAAGTCCATTCGGAGATTTTCCTTTTTCAGTTTGTAGCAAGCATCCAGAGGCGGCACAGTGGCTCAGTGGTTAGCATTGCTGCCTTACAGCGCCAGAGTGTGTGGAGTTTGCACGTTCTCCTCATGTCTGTATGGGTTCCTCTGGGTGCTCTGTTTTCCTCCCACAGTCCAAAGATGTGCAGGTTAGGTGAATTGGCCATGCTAAATTGCCTATTGTGCCCACGGATGTGGATTAGCCATGGGAAATGCAGGGTTATGGAGATAGGGTTTGTGTGACTTGATGGGCTAATTGACCTGCTTCCACACTGTAGAAGTGCTATGACCTTGAAGGAGAATTGGCAGTAATGGATTTGTTGGGAATGAAGTTGGACAGGTGGAAGAAATAACACTGGGAGAGTATTTTAGTCATAATGGTTATAACTTGATTAAATATAACATGATTATAAAAAAAATGAAAATGTTTAAAATTGGGAAGGGCCAATTTTACAAATTGAAATGTGCTTTTAGCAAAAGTAGAGTGGACGTAAGCACTTACAGGTAAATCTGTGTCACAGTAGTGCGAAGTATTAATTAAGGAGATAGAGAGGGTTTAGAATAGATAGATTTCCAACGACAAAAAGGTTGCGACTTCCTAATCTAGAAACCCGCCATTCCCAGCCTGGATGTCAAAGGCCATGCCAAGTTGAATAAGGCAAAAAAAGAGAAAACTCCTATCAGATGCCAAGAGGTTGGTAACTGCAGAAAGCCTAAACTAGAGAATGTGGTGGTGACAATAAATAGGAAATTACAAAAGCAAATGAAAGAGCATGAAAGAATGATTGGTAAGTAAAATTAAGAAGAATCCAATTATATTTGATAATGCATAATGGAAAGAGGATAACTAAGGAAACATTAATGCAGTTAAGAGACCCAAAAGAGAATGTGTGGAGGTAGGTGACGCAGCTGTGGTTCTTAATTTATACTTGGTTTTGTTTATTATTATTTACAGAATGAGTGCATCAATGGCTAGGCCAGCAGTCATTGTTCTTCCCTAATGCATTTGAGAATGTGATGGTGAGTCAGCCTTTACAAAGGGAGACATGGCACATACATTGTAATTAAGGAGGAAGAGTATGAAAAGTAAGAGTATTGGATTATATAAAACAAGGGAAAGGAAATATTAAGAGTTTTAACAATCTTTAAAAGTGCTCAACATTGCCAGGCCCAGATGAAGTGCAATCTAGGTTGCTCAGAAAAACAAGGAAAGAAATAGTGGAGGCAGTAAAAATAAATTGCAATCTCCTCTGGTAACGGGCATGGTGCTGGAGATGTGCTAATGTTGTACCACTGATTAAAAAGAGAGAGATGGATAAACTGAACAATTGTAGGTTAGTCAGCTTAAACTTGGTGATGCACAATTATTGAAAAAAATTGAGGAACAATATAAATCATAATTTAGAAAGGCAGTCAGTTCATAATATAATGCCACAGTACAGTTCCAAAAATAAAACAGGGAGCCAATGAATTTGTGTGCATTTTTTCTCTCCTACCATTAATTTTAATGACAGCACATATGGCTTCATGCCTGCCAATATACAATACACCAAAGCTCCCTGGGGCAATGGTTGAAACAGTACTGATTCATTCAGAAATTAATATTGGAATAAGGTATTTGAATGATTTGAGGAGTAGCATGTGATGAGTGAAGAATATTTAGGTGGAGTAGATGACTGAATCTGCAGTTCCCAAAGAGCTCCACCACTGGGATATCTGCATCTGGGTCTATTGTGGATGAATTAACTGAAATTGATCACTGCAAATACTCCATTATCGCTTTATAATATGAATACCAGGGTGGTAGAAAGCAAACTAGAATAAACTGTTGTAATTTTATCATCTCTCAATTCCTGTTTGTTACCTGTGCACACAAGCAACTGGCACTAATTTCATCTGCAGCTGTACTTTAATAGCATTCTTTGCATACTTCTAGATGTTTCCACGAATCCTTCACTTTACTGGTGACAGATAAATTCTGACCCAGAAATAAAACTTTGCTTTGAAGCTTCAAAACCATGTTGGGCAAGGTGAAGTCTAACCTAACTGGTTTGTCTTCTACCTGGTTTTGCAGCATTCACAAGGATTTAGGAGATAGAACCTTGCCTCTTGGTCAAG